TTTAACATTAAAAATTGTTACATAGGTGGGAAATACTGTTTGCACAACAGTAATGTGATTAGTAGTGAATAATAATATACTGTACAGGTGTCTTCTTGATTTACAAAGAAAGAAAAAAAAATTGAAGACTTTGAGGTTTTGGTATTTCTTTTTTATTTTCATGGAGAATTATCATTAAAGTATACTGATGCTAAGAAAAACTTAAAGGGCTGTAATATGCATTATGTGAATGTTATTGTAAGATTAAATTGTTTAGTTAATATAGTATTGTATTTTATATTTTTTGATTATGAATAAATAGTGTATTTAATTATGTATTTTTTATGTGCTTTATGTACAGGGCATTATTATAAACAGTCCTTAGTCAAAGAATCATCTTCATGCTGGAGCATTTGTACTTCCGTGCATTTTGTGTCGCTACTTGCTTCTCATGTCATCCTTGGTACAGTGATCAGTCATGATGACACAACACCTCTTCCTTGAGCACTCAGCCAGCACACTTCCATCAGCTTTGTTACTTATCTGTGATAGTTCTTTCCTAATTGAAATGCTGTATTTTATTTATGTATTTCAGAATGCTTCATTGTTGTTTCTACTTATATTTTTCATGGCCCTGGAAATATGCTGATTTTATTTTTTTGTTTATTTATTTATATATTTCTTCTGTTAATGTTTTTTTATTTGCAATATTTGGGAACATTTCCACGAATATTTTATTTTAATAAAATTTAATTGTTTGATGTTTAATGTTTTTTAATTTCATGATAATTTATTTATAAAATGATCTTCAAATTCTTGCTTTTATTCCCTCTTACCCCTTCTCCCTTTCACCAGTTTTAGTGCCATGTTACATTTAGACCAGCTGGAAGAGCTGTAGTATATCTGTCCATCTTCCTGTAAATATCATCTTTCATAGTAACTTCTCAGCGCTTGGAACAGAATTTTTTTTTTTAAATGTATTATACTGTAAAGTCATTAAACAGAGATATGCTCCTTTTAAGCCTCCTAACTGGACCAGTTAATTAAGGAAGGGATGGTTGGTATCATCATTTAAATATCTCTTGTTTTACTAAGTTACTCAGCACTTAATAATATATTTTTTTTTGCTATTTAAATATAAAACGAGCTAAATTTATTTTGTACATGTGCATTTTTTGTGGTGGGGTGTTAAAATTAAGCATTCACTGATGTTATTTGAGTCATAACATGGTATTTCTGTAAATAAAGAGGTAATGTAAGTATAAATGAAAAACTGTGGTGAAATTCTGTTTATATACAGTAATCTGTTACATCATATTGTACACCATTGTATTTGCTTGATGAATTCAGGCAGGGTGACCCAAAAAGAAAGAAATCCCCAAAAAGAAAATACTTTCATCATCATTAAACACTTTCACCTCACTCATACATAATCACTCTTTTTGCAGAGGTGCCCAGATACAACAGTTAAGAAGCATATATAAAGATATATAACATATCCCTCCAAGCTGCTAATATCCTAAACCCCTCCTTTAAAGTGCAGGCATTGTACTTTCCATTTCCAGTACTCAAGTCTGGCTATATAAAAATAACTGGTTTCCCTGAATCCCTTCACTAAATATTACCCTGCTCACACTCCAACAGCTCATCAGGTCCCAAAAACCATTCGTCTCCATTCACTCTTATCAAACACACTCACGCATGCACCTCGCCCACAAAACCTCCTTTACCCTGTCCCTCCAACCTTTTTGAGGACGAACCCTACCCCGCCTTCCTTTCCTACAGATTTATACACTCTTCATGTCATTCTATTTTGATCCATTCTCTCTAAATGACGAAACCACCTCAACAACCCCTCTTCAGCCCTCTGACTAATACTTTATTAACTCCACACTGTCTCCTAATTTCCACACTCCGAATTTTCTGCATAATGTTTACACCACACATTGCCCTTAGACAGAACATCTCCACTGCCTCCAACCACCTCCTCACTGCAGCATTTACAACCCAAGTTTCACACCCATATAAGAGTGTTGGTACCACTATACTTTCATACATTCCCTTCTTTGCCTCCATAGATAACATTTTTTTTTTCTCCACTTATACCTCAATGCACCACTCACCTTTTTTCCTTCATCAGTTCTGTGAGTAACCTCATCCTTCATAAACCCATCCACTGACACATCAACTCCCAAATATCTTTAAAACATTCACTTTTTCCATACTCCCTCTCTCCAATGTGATATCCAATTTTTTGTGTATCTAAATCATTTGATACCCTCATCACCTTACTCTTATCTATGTTCACTTTCAAAATTTCTACCTTTACACACCTTTTATATGTATATGGCTTTTTATATGTACAGTATTATATACAGTATGTGCAGTATTTATTATGCTCAGCATAACCAAAGGCTTTCAGTGTAGGCTGTGGAAAAAGATTTATTATTGGTGTATCATTATTATTATTATTATTTTATTATAATTTTTGTTTTATTATTATTATTATTATTTTTATTTTATTATTAAATTTTTATTATTATTATTTATTATTATTATTATATTATTATTTATTATTGAGTATAAAGTCCTCAAATGCATGCATGGCATAATAAAAAACCCAGGCAAAACATTTTATCAACAATTGCTTTGATAAAATGGCAACTAATGCATGCATAAAATCACATGTGCTGCAAATTTTCTTAAGAAAATAAGAGTCAGGTATATGGTACAAGTTAAAGAAATAAAAGTCATTGATATCAAGAAAGACTATTATTGATGTACAGTAGAAGGGTGAAAAAATTGTCTTGACTAATGCTAAATGAATTATTTATGTATTAATGCTAAATGAATTATTTATGTATTGCAAATCAAATGTTTTATAGAAAATCTTAAGCATAGACTTGTTATAATGCTAGATTATGGCCCAGCTATGCAGAACATTTGCTGAAATTATTAGTCTAACTTCCTGTTATATGATTGCAAAATGGAACCCTGTTAAACATTTTGCACTCTGGCAGGATTGCTTGTCTTATTATTCTGCCTCAGTAACATTTATCTCTACTGTCTTAATTCTTAATAGCTCTATTTTGTAATATTTCCCTTACAATTTAGGAGGCTTGGTGTGAGACAGCTATGGAAGCAGTGATTCTTGGAACCACTGATAGATGTTAACAGATTTAAGAGTTTAAAATGTTAACTTTCATGTTTACTGGTTACTTTGATGTAAATAATATGCTGTGCAACCCTTAGCTTTGTCCTCCTGTAATTATTATTGCAATCTTTCTCTTTCATACAATTACAAGTATTTTACTAAAGAGAAGAATGTTGAAGATTTATGAGCAGTTTTGGTAACTTAGCTAATGGTTTTGGGAATAATTTTTTCCTTTTCTGTAAATAAATGCACAATATGTATTTTTCATATTTACTTGTTTTGTACATGTAAATAATACAGTATAAAGAAAGATCCTGGATTATATGTCTTTTCTTTAATGAAAGAGGCAGCAGATTATAAACATACAGTACATACAGTACATAAAAATATAAATGCATGATTTGGCTGGTGTTTGTTAATTTATTAACCATTTGAGTTTCATTGTAGTTAGGTAAGTAGTTTTTAAAACAACAGAATCATTAGTAAACTCTTTAAGTGTAAGGGTATGGAATATTTCAGCTCTTGTAGTGAAATATATATAGTTACAAAAGAAAGTATGTAGGAAGTGAGTTGTTTTCAAAATAAGAACATTATTTTCATCTGTTCTATTGGGAGGAACTAATTCCCTAGCTCAGCCATCCATCTGACTAGAAAACATAACATTTAAAAGAAGAACTTGTTAAATTATAAATTTTGAAATATTTTTTAAGGGTGAGAGTCAGTTGCTGTGAACTACTGTTATCCCTAAAAATATGGCAAACCCAGAAATAAAATTTTCCCGTGTGCATATGTGTGGCAAAGTTAAAAAAAATATTAAAGTTTTAAAGGGTATATTTTTCGCTGTCAAAAAAACTATTGGATAATAACCTACAGTTTTATGGCATTTTGAAATTGTTGAGAAATGGTCACTCGTTGGCAGCTGCATTGTGAATTCCTTAGCAGTATACGTACACATTTTACAATTTGAGGTCACCAAATATAGATTGTTTCTTCATTTTTTGTTTTGGATGTCTAACATTATTATATATGCTACTGTAGTTACGTGTAGTATCAAGTGTGCATCAAGGTATTTTAGTATACTTAAAACATGGGGAGACATATCACGTGACAGCTTCACTAGGAATATACATTACATTATAAATTGATACGACTTATTTTTTCTAATTTTTATAAGAGTACTGTACATTACATAGAATTAACAGTTATATTATAATAAACTTTAAAAAATTAAGGAGTTAAAGGTGCATGCATTGAAAATAAAGGAGTTAAAGGTACAATTTAACCTGTGTATTTGGTCCATAATTTTAAAACTTCATTATATTGAGGTTCTTTATATCAAAATTTTACTGAACTTTGAACATTATCTTAATTGTAGCACATATAATATCCTAGCTTACTACTAGCTACTAAGAGTTACTCCCTTCATATTGGCAAGAGCATTTCATCTAAGGAATTGAGTACCCTCTTCGTTCTTCAGATAAAAGCTGCTGTATAACCCTTATGGGTTTAGCACTTTTTGAGTCTAATAATAATCTAAAAGTCAGTGTATTGAAAAATAGTTAAGAAGGCAACAGAGTTCCTTCTGTTAATATGTCATAAATTTCTTAGTTTGTCAGTGGTTCAGATGAGGTTAAATTCCATCACTAAAAAAAAAAAAAAATTCACTCATAAATGCATTAAAGTGCATGTGTATAATGTAAGTATTATTCATAATTAATTGCTGTGTTAAGGACACCATGAAATGAGACAACATTACATTATACCTATATTAAATATTATTTTATTTTTCCTTGTAGGTGAGCAGTTACTCTCACCTGAGAGTCAAATCAGTGGAGGAGACGTGATTTTTGAGCCAGTGTCACCCCTTAATTCACCTTCCTTCACTCTCAACGAGACAGTGCCAGAGTTTAACCTTGATTTCAACCTTGACGAGGCTCTTAAGTTTGTTGGACTCAATTGTTCTGAGACTGGAGAGACAATTTGGAAGGTACGTTCATGCTTTTGTTTTTTTCCTAATCTAATTTAAAATATAGATATACTGTGCTTTAATGTCAAAACTTGCCAACTTGGCCTATTAGGAAATTATCATTTTGCCAAACTAGAAAATTATGTACAATGGGCCCCCAGGTTTCGTAATTAATCCGTTCCAGAGTGAGTGACTAAACCTGAATCCGAATTAATTTTCCCCATAAGAAATAATGTAAACCCAATTAATCTGTTTCAGACACCCAAAAGTATTTAAAAATGTTTTCTACATGAAATATACATTTACCTACACAGAAAACGATGATACATGAAGAATAAAACAATACAGTGGACCCCCGGTTAAGATTTATCCGTGCAAGAAGGGATAATTGTATGGCGAAATAATGTAGCGTTAAATTTTTCCCCATAAGAAATATGAATAAAATAATCCGTCAGACGCCAATGTATTAAAAAATTTTTTTTTACACATGAAGTTAAATTTAATACACCAACTAAAAAAGTGCCAAAGTTTCATGAGCTTTTTTAGAATTGGTGTTGGAGTGGGATGGAGAGGAACATTATCTCTTACTGTTTAAAGGGAATCCCCTTCCATTACGACTTGATAGCAAGTCCTTTTCTCGGGTTACTTCCCTATTTCTTTAAGCACTTCTAGCTTGAGTCACTACCTCTCGCACAACAATCTGACCTTTCCATAATCTTACCTCTTTCTTTGTTATCTTGTATTTTTTTAAATTTGTTAAATTCCAAATTTCATTTAAATATACACAGCACGGCTTTGCAACAGCTGTGTCCCAAGGTGATTTTCTCCTATAAAGGTTTGCATTCAACCCACTGTGCACACATTTCCAACCTTATAGCACAATGATTCCACAACTGCATAGCTTCTCAGGGTTAGCCCCAAACCCTTCCAAACTTCTTTCTCATACAATCTCACTCATTATACCACAGGGTTGGCACAGAACTTTTTTGGCCCATGTCACTTATTTATCTCAGAAACAGCACCGAAAACACTGTAATATAACGAAATTATTCTTCGAGTTAACTTGGATTTAACCGCGAGGCTGGCTGGTAATCAATGGGCCCATGGAGGCACATTGACGCGTTCTCAGTACAAAATCGGTGACGTTTTTAAACGTATGCCTCAAAATTTTGCATAAAAGTAAGCGTATGCGGAAAAATCGCATGTATCTCGTTATGCGGTCCACTTAATAACATCCCCCTTTAATTGAAGAAATGGGTGTATACCATGAAGACAGGAGGAGGGAGGAAGGAGGAGTTACAATTGTTTTTGGGAAAGGGAACTCCTCCTAAAAAACTTCAGTACCAAGGTTTTTATCCGGGTTACTCCGTTTTTTGTTTTTAATGCCCCTAGGACCAGCTGGAGTCACTGGACCCCCCGTCCCCTCAAAAAATTGTTTCCCGAGAGGTCTTTTCTGGGGGTTTGTTTTGGGAAATTTTGGTTTTGGGGCGGGCAAATAGGCCTTCAATAACCCTAAATCTACAAATTCATCTAAATGACATAATAAAAATTTAAAAAACAAAAAAAATAAATACTCTAGAATGAATAAAAAATGGCTTAAAAGTCACGAGTGATGGTGTGTTGTTTTCATTGGGGTAAACGGCCACTAAAGAAAGCCTTACATAGGGTGGGGAAGGCGGGAACAAGGCGCAGAGCAGCGGGGTTATCATAGCCCCCATATAACCCCCAACAACAAAAGAGGGGTCAGGTTTTTGCGTCCTTTTTCTATGATTTTTGCCAACTTACTTTCTACACTATTAATCAAAACTTTATTTCTGGCTGTTTCTAAGCCCTTTCTACTCCGCTGCTTTAGTACATACTCAGAAAACCTGCCCACAAAACCTCCTTTTACCCTGTCCCCCCCAACCTTTTGAGGACAACCCTACCCCGCCTTCCTTTCCTACAGATTTATACACTCTTCATGTCATTCTATTTTGATCCATTCTCTCTAAATGACGAAACCACCTCAACAACCCCTCTTCAGCCCTGACTAATACTTTATTAACTCCACACTGTCTCCTAATTTCCACACTCCGAATTTTCTGCATAATGTTTACACCACACATTGCCCTTAGACAGAACATCTCCACTGCCTCCAACCACCTCCTCACTGCAGCATTTACAACCCAAGTTTCACACCCATATAAGAGTGTTGGTACCACTATACTTTCATACATTCCCTTCTTTGCCTCCATAGATAACATTTTTTGTCTCCACTTATACCTCAATGCACCACTCACCTTTTTTCCTTCATCAGTTCTGTGAGTAACCTCATCCTTCATAAACCCATCCACTGACACATCAACTCCCAAATATCTGAAAACATTCACTTTTTCCATACTCCCTCTCTCCAATGTGATATCCAATTTTTTGTGTATCTAAATCATTTGATACCCTCATCACCTTACTCTTATCTATGTTCACTTTCAACTTTCTACCTTTACACACCTTTTATATGTATATGGCTTTTATATGTACAGTATATATACAGTATGTGCAGTATTTATTATGCTCAGCATAACCAAAGGCTTTCAGTGTAGGCTGTGGAAAAAGATTTATTATTGGTGTATCATTATTATTATTATTATTTTATTATAATTTTTGTTTTATTATTATTATTATATTTTATTATTATTATTATTATTATTATTATTATTATTATTATTATTATTATTATTATTGAGTATAAAGTCCTCAAATGCATGCATGGCATAATAAAAAACCCAGGCAAAACATTTTATCAACAATTGCTTTAGATAAATGGCAACTAATGCATGCATAAAATCACATGTGCTGCAAATTTTCTTAAGAAAATAAGAGTCAGGTATATGGTACAAGTTAAAGAAATAAAAGTCATTGATATTAAGAAAGACTATTATTGATGTACAGTAGAAGGCTGAAAAAATTGTCTTGACTAATGCTAAATGAATTATTTATGTATTGCAAATCAAATGTTTTATAGAAAATCTTAAGCATAGACTTGTTATAATGCTAGATTATGGCCCAGCTATGCAGAACATTTGCTGAAATTATTAGTCTAACTTCCTGTTATATGATTGCGAAATGGAACCCTGTTAAACATTTTGCACTCTGGCAGGATTGCTTGTCTTATTATTCTGCCTCAGTAACATTTATCTTTACTGTCTTAATTCTTAATAGCTCTATTTTGTAATATTTCCCTTACAATTTAGGAGGCTTGGTGTGAGACAGCTATGGAAGCAGTGATTCTTGGAACCACTGATAGATGTTAACAGATTTAAGAGTTTAAAATGTTAACTTTCATGTTTACTGGTTACTTTGATGTAAATAATATGCTGTGCAACCCTTAGCTTTGTCCTCCTGTAATTATTATTGCAATCTTTCTCTTTCATACAATTACAAGTATTTTACTAAAGAGAAGAATGTTGAAGATTTATGAGCAGTTTTGGTAACTTAGCTAATGGTTTTGGGAATAATTTTTTCCTTTTCTGTAAATAAATGCACAATATGTATTTTTCATATTTACTTGTTTTGTACATGTAAATAATACAGTATAAAGAAAGATCCTGGATTATATGTCTTTTCTTTAATGAAAGAGGCAGCAGATTATAAACATACAGTACATAAAAATATAAATGCATGATTTGGCTGGTGTTTGTTAATTTATTAACCATTTGAGTTTCATTGTAGTTAGGTAAGTAGTTTAATACAACAGAATCATTAGTAAACTCTTTAAGTGTAAGGGTATGGAATATTTCAGCTCTTGTAGTGAAATATATATAGTTACAAAAGAAAGTATGTAGGAAGTGAGTTGTTTTCAAAATAAGAACATTATTTTCATCTGTTCTATTGGGAGGAACTAATTCCCTAGCTCAGCCATCCATCTGACTAGAAAACATAACATTTAAAAGAAGAACTTGTTACTTATAAATTTTGAAATATTTTTTAAGAGTGAGAGTCAGTTTGCTGTGAACTACTGTTATCCCTAAAAATATGGCAAACCCAGAAATAAAATTTCCTGTGTGCATATGTGTGGCAAAGTTAAAAAAAATATTAAAGTTTTAAAGGGTATATTTTTCTATGTCAAAAAAAACTATTGGATAATAACCTACAGTTTTATGGCATTTTGAAATTGTTGAGAAATGGTCACTCGTTGGCAGCTGCATTGTGAATTCCTTAGCAGTATACGTACACATTTTACAATTTGAGGTCACCAAATATAGATTGTTTCTTCATTTTTTGTTTTGGATGTCTAACATTATTATATATGCTACTGTAGTTACGTGTAGTATCAAGTGTGCATCAAGGTATTTTAGTATACTAAAACATGGGGAGACATATCACGTGACAGCTTCACTAGGAATATACATTACATTATAAATTGATACGACTTAGTTTTTCTAATTTTTTATAAGAGTACTGTACATTACATAGAATTAACAGTTATATTATAATAAACTTTAAAAATTAAGGAGTTAAAGGTGCATGCATTGAAAATAAAGGAGTTAAAGGTACAATTTAACCTGTGTATTTGGTCCATAATTTTAAAACTTCATTATATTGAGGTTCTTTATATCAAAATTTTACTGAACTTTGAACATTATCTTAATTGTAGCACATATAATATCCTAGCTTACTACTAGCTACTAAGAGTTACTCCCTTCATATTGGCAAAGAGCATTTCATCTAAGGAATTGAGTCACCCTCTCGTTCTTCAGATAAAAGCTGCTGTATAACCCTTATGGGTTTAGCACTTTTTGAGTCTAATAATAATCTAAAAATCAGTGTATTGAAAAATAGTTAAGGAGGCAACAGAGTTCCTTCTGTTAATATGTCATAAATTTCTTAGTTTGTCAGTGGTTCAGATGAGGTTAAATTCCATCACTAAAAAAAAAAAAAATTCACTCATAAATGCATTAAAGTGCATGTGTATAATGTAAGTATTATTCATAATTAATTGCTGTGTTAAGGACACCATGAAATGAGACAACATTACATTATACCTATATTAAATATTATTTTATTTTTCCTTGTAGGTGAGCAGTTACTCTCACCTGAGAGTCAAATCAGTGGAGGAGACGTGATTTTTGAGCCAGTGTCACCCCTTAATTCACCTTCCTTCACTCTCAACGAGACAGTGCCAGAGTTTAACCTTGATTTCAACCTTGACGAGGCTCTTAAGTTTGTTGGACTCAATTGTTCTGAGACTGGAGAGACAATTTGGAAGGTACGTTCATGCTTTTGTTTTTTTCCTAATCTAATTTAAAATATAGATATACTGTGCTTTATTGTCAAAACTTGCCAACTTGGCCTATTAGGAAATTATCATTTTGCCAAACTAGAAAATTATGTACAATGGACCCCCAGGTTTCGTAATTAATCCGTTCCAGAGAGAGTGACTAAACCTGAATCCGAATTAATTTTCCCCATAAGAAATAATGTAAACCCAATTAATCTGTTTCAGACACCCAAAAGTATTTAAAAATGTTCTCTACATGAAATATACATTTACCTACACAGAAAACGATGATACATGAAGAATAAAACAATAATAACATCACACCTTTATTGAAGACATGGTGATACATGGAAGACAGGAGGAGGGGAGAGGATGGAGGAGTTTACAATTGTTTGGAAGGGGAATCTCCTTCCATAAAGACTTCAGGTACCAAGTCCTTATCCTGGGTTACTTCCGTTCTTTGTTTTTTAATGCCACTAGGACCAGCTTGAGAGTCACTGGACCCCTGTCGCTCAAAAAATTTTTCCAGAGAGGTCTGTTTCTGGCGTTTGTTAGGAATTGTGTTGGGAGACAGGACAAGATAGGCCTTCAATATGACACTAATATCTATCACAATTCATCTAATAAGACATAATAAACAATATTAATAACATAGAAACATGATATATACTCTAGAATGAATAAAATATGGCATTAAGAATGTTTTTTTTTTTTTTTTTTACTCTATAAACATGTACATCCTGGAGCCTACCCATCAACCTTTTATCCACCAATACATAATCTAATAAACTACTTTCATTACGTGCTACATCATACCTTGTATATTTATTTATCCTCTTTTTCATAAAATATGTATTACTTATTACCAAATTTCTTTCTACACATAGCTCAATTAAACGCTCCCCATTTACATTTACCCCTGGCACCCCAAATTTACCTACTACTCCCTCCATAACATTTTTACCCACTTTAGCATTGAAATCCCCAACCACCATTACTCTCACACTTGATTCAAAACTCCCACGCATTCACTCAACATTTCCCAAAATCTCTCTCTCTCCTCTACACTTCTCTCTTCTCCAGGTGCATACACGCTTATTATAACCCACTTTTCACATCCAATCTTTATTTTACTCACATAATCCTTGAATTAATACATTTATAGTCCCTCTTTTCCTGCCATAGCATTATCCTTCAACATTATTGCTACTCCTTCTTTAGCTCTAACTCTATTTGAAACCCCTGACCTAATCCCATTTATTCCTCTCCACTGAAACTCTCCCACCCCTTCAGCTTTGTTTCACTTAAAGCCAGGACATCCAGCTTCTTCTCATTCATAACATCCACAATCATCTCTTTCTTATCATCTGCACAACATCCACGCACATTCAGACTTCCCACTTTGACAATTTTCTTCTTCTTATTCTTTTTAGTAATCTTTACAGGAAAAGGGGTTACTAGCCCATTGTTCCCGGCATTTTAGTTGACTTTTACAACACGCATGGCTTACGGAGGAAAGATTCTTATTCCACTTCCCCATGGATATAAAAGGAAAATTAATAAGACCAAGAAACTATTAAGATAAAATCAAAGAAAACTCAGATGAGTGTGTATGAATAAATGTGTATATGTATGTGTAGTGTGACCTAAGTGTAAGTAGAAGTAGCAAGACATGCCTGTAATCTTGCATATTTATGAGACAGACAAAAGACATCAGCAATCCTACCATCATGTAAAACAATCACAGGCTTTCGTTTTACACTCACTTGGCAGGACGGTAGTACCTCCCTGGGTGGTTGCTGTCTACCAACCTACTACCTAGATAGGAGTGAATGGAGACGAATGGTACTTGGGACCTGACGATCTGTTGGAGTGTGAGCAGGGTAATATTTAGTGAAGGGATTCAGGGAAACCGGTTATTTTCATATAGTCGGACTTGAGTCCTGGAAATGGGAAGTACAATGCCTGCACTTTAAAGGAGGGGTTTGGGATATTGGCAGTTTGGAGGGATATGTTGTGTATCTTTATATGTGTATGCTTCTAGACTGTTGTATTCTGAGCACCTCTGCAAAAACAGTGATAATGTGTGAGTGTGGTGAAAGTGTTGAATGATGATGAAAGTATTTTCTTTTTGGGGATTTTCTTTCTTTTTTGGGTCACCCTGCCTCGGTGGGAGACGGCCGACTTGTTGAAAAAAAAAAAAAAAAAAAAATTAAGAATGTCACGAGTGATGGTGTGTTGTTTGTCATTGGGTGTATAACGGCCACTGAAAGATAAGCCTTACATAGTGGTGGTGAAGGCGGCAACAAGAGGCAGCAGAGGCAGCGGTGTTAGTCAGTAGCCCTATATACCTCCAACAACAAAAGAGGAGTCAGGTTTATGCTGTCCTTTTTCTATCGATTAATTGCTCAACTTACTTGCTACACTATTAATGCTACACTTTATTGCTGGCTGGTGCTATACCCTTTCTCAACTCCTGCTGCTTTAGTATCATACATATTCAATCAATCAATCAAGTTTATTCTCTATAAAGATTACAATGCGGGGTTTACAGATTTTGAACATTGTGTGGTTTACATGTTATAAAATACTAATTATAGAGGGGGCCACTATGACACCTAGCATGGCTAGGCATTTCAGGCAGACTTAGAGTAATTCTTAACTCAAAATTATTACAGATTATGGAGTAAGTTGGTATTAAGGCTAAGTGACTACATTATAGTTTGTGAATTTAGCAATGTGAATGCTTTTGTTTTGGTACAATACATGGTTTCTATATTAGAGTATCACAGGCAAACTTATGACTAGTTAGGATTCATTATTTTAAGATTAAGATTTGTATTTCTGTGTTTATAGTCAAATGGGTGAGTGAAAGTGTGAGCCACCAGGTGGTTTTCATGTAGTTAGTTGACGGGGTGTATCAGGGAGATAAGATGTTTTCTAACGGTAGTTTTGAAAGTGATGAATGTCTCTGCAGTTCTAGAGTTTTCTGGTAGGGTGTTCCAGATTTTAGGCACTTTGACATACATTGAATTTTTGTAAAGGCTTAGTCGGACATGGGGAATGTCATAGAAATGTTTGTGTCTGGTGTTATGCCTGTGGGTCCTGTCACAACTATCAAGAAAGCATTTTAGGTCAAGGTTAATATTGGAATTTAAGGTCCTGTAGATATAGATTGCACAGTAGTAAGTGTGGATGTTCTGAACAGGGAGTAAGTTTAGATCAATGAAGAGTGGGGGATGGGGGGTGTTGCCAGGGATGGGATTTAGTGATTATTCTTACTGCGTCTTTTTGTTGGGTTATTATTGCCTTTAGGTGTGTTGCAGAATCACTGAAAAAGGCACATTCTCCCTTCTCTCTCAGCTCTTTACCAAAGGGCTGGCTGGCACTAGGAACTTTCTTTGGGCCCTTGGTGGCTTATTTAGCAGTTGCAAGCACTAAAAAGAATGGAATAATATGAAATGTATTATATGAGCATGTGGGATCGTGCTCAGTGGCTGATGAACAATGGCACACTGAGTTCGGGCCGCTGTTGCCGTGCAGACGTGTTCAGGACGAATGACTATTACCGAGTTCAGTGACGATCACCGAGCCAATATTTTGATGAAAAAACTTTACTTATTCCGAATATTACGAAATCCGACGACGATGTAATCTGGGGGTCCACTGTATTTATTTTGGATATTACTCTTTGAAAATAACCTGGAGCATTCTGCTTAGGATAGGTTGCTAAGTTAGTTGTGGCACAAAAAATGAAAAAAAAGTGCATATATAATACAGTACATATATATCAATCAGTCCATAAAAAAATGCTGAAATTTTTTTTATTTTAAGAAAATTCTGATTGTTTGACCCCTCTGACTAATAAGCATTACAGACTCAGCTTGCACATGTGTGCACACATGAACACATGCACACACTGTAAAGCATATGCACTGTTCTGTATATACGTTTATTTTGTTTTACAGTCACCCGAATCTGTCAACACAGACGAGCTTGTCAAGGAGGTTGCAGGGAAGGAAAAGGAGGAAAGTGAAGACAACTTGGACGTACTGAACGATAGCCTGGACGACATGATCCAGGCCTCCCAGCTTCACTCGCATCACCCGCGATCACTACAGGTACAGTAAATAATTTTTTTTACTTTTTAGATTTACTAATTGGTTTGAAATGTCTTTCCTCTGTGGTGATACTATTCCTTATACGTATGCAAATAAATGTCGGGAATTTTGCCTTTTACATGTACCTTTTTTTTTTTTTTTTTTTTTTTTTTTTTTTAATTAACAAGTTGGCTGTCTCCCACCGAGGCAGGGTGACCCAAAAAGAAAGAAAATCCCCAAAAAGAAAATACTTTCATCATCATTCAACTCTTTCACATAATCACTGTTTTTGCAGAGGTGCTCAGAACACAGCAGCTTAGAGGCATATAGTATATATAAAGATACACAACATATCCCTCCAAACTGACAATATCCTGAACCCCTCCTTTAGAGTGCAGGTATTGTACTTCCCATTTCCAGGACTCAAGTCCAGCTATATAAAAATAACTGGTTACCCTGAATCCCTTCACTAAATATTACCCTGCTCACACTCCAACAGATCGTCAAGTCCCAAATACCATTCGTCTCCATTCACTCCTATTGAACACGCTCACACACACCTGCTGGAAGTCCAAGCCCCTTGCCCACAAAATCTCCCTTACCCCTTCCAACCTTTTTGAAGACGACCCCTACCCCGCCTTCCTTCCCCTACAGATTTAAATGCTCTTCATGTCATTCTACTTTGATCCATTCTCTCTAAATGACCAAACCACCTCAACAACCCCTCTTCACCCCTCTAATACTTTTATTAACTCCACACCTTCTCCTAATTTCCTCACTCTGAATTTTCTGCATAATATTTACACCACACATTGCCCTTAGACAGGACATCTCCACTGCCTCCAACCACCTCCTCGCTGCTGCATTCACAACCCAAGCTTCACACCCATATAAGAGTGTTGGTACTACTATACTTTCATACATTCCCTTCTTTGCCTCCATAGATAATGTTTTTCGTCTCCACATATACCTCAATGCACTACTCACCTTTTTTTCCTCATCAATTCTATGATTAACCTCATCCTTCATAAATCCATCCACTGACACATCAACTCCAAGTACAGTGGTCCCTCAATAATTGTCCGGCCTGAAAGTTGTCCATTTCGGAAATAGTCAAGTTATTTCGTCTAAACACTGGCTCGCAAATGGTCCGTTAACTCGCTAATCGTCTTTCGTCCTGGACACGTACTCACGGCTCTGAGCCGCCTCGGCCTCCTTTCCCAGCCAGTGTGCCATTGTTTACCAGTGAGCGACGGTCCCCTCACGTGTTCATACGAAATATTTCATAATATTCCATTCATTTTAGTGCTGCCATGGCTCCAAAGAAAGCTCCTAGTGCCAAGCCTTTGGTAAAGAATGTGACAAATGCAATTGAATTTAAGAAAAACATCATTGAACAATATGAAAGTGGTGTACATGTGGCCGAACTGGCCAGGATGTATAACAAACCCCATACAACCATATCTTCCATCGTGGCAAAGAAAAAGGAAATCAAGGAAGCTGTTGTTGCTTGGAGAAAATTGAGGCCAGATTGTGTCCACAAGAGGGATTTTGAAGGGTTTGTGGCTGACCCTGATGAGCCTATGTCAGTTGTGAAATCTATTGTGGCATTGGGGAGTTCCATGGGGTTGGATGTGAGTTTGGAGGATGTGGAAGAGTTGGTGGAGGACCACAATGAAGAGCTAACCACTGAGGAGCTGCAAGAGCTTCAGCAGGAAGAACAACAGATCGCAGGTCAGAATCTTGCTGCAGAGGAGGAGGAAGAGAGATGGAAGAAGGTGCCTTCTTCAGAAATTAAAGAGATTTTTGAAATGTGGGGTAGGATGGAAAGATTCATGGAGAAACATCACCCTGAGAAGGATGTTGCAAGCCATATCGGAAATTTGTACAGTGACAGTCTTGGCCCATTTTAGGGAAGTTTTAAAGAGACACCAGTTTTTTTTGTGAGACAGGACTCCAGTGGCTCTCAAGCTGGTCCTAGTGGCATTAAGAAACAGAGAAGAGAAGTAACCCCAGAAAAGCTCTTGGTACCTGAGGTGTTGATGGAAGGGGATTTCCCTTCCAAACAGTAACTAATGCAATCTGTCTCCTCCTCCAGTCTTCCATACACTAAGAAGAATTGCCAATAAAGGTAAGTGTTATGCTGTTAATGTTTCATTCATCATGTGCCATTGTATTGTATATGTACTACATCTATATTTCATGTAAAAAAATTTTTTGTTTTAATACTTCTGGGTGTCAGGAACAGATTAATTGTATGTACATTATTTCTTATGGGGAAAATTGATTCGAAAATCGTCTATTTCGATAATAGTCCCATTTCCAGGAATGGATTATGGACGATAATTGAGGGACCACTGTATCTGAAAACATTCACTTCTTCCATACTCCTCCTCCCCAATTTGATATCCAGTTTTTCTTTATCTAAATCATTTGATATCCTCATCACCTTACTCTTTTCTATGTTCACTTTCAACTTTCTACCTTTACACACACTCCCAAACTCGTCCACTAACCTTTGCAATTTTTCTTTAGAATCTCCCATAAGCACTGTATCATCAGCAAAAAGCAACTGTGTCAATTCCCATTTTGTATTTGATTCCCCATAATTTAATCCCACCATCTTTACCTTTGATAATTTAAAATGGCATAAAAAGTTATAGTAAGTAGTAAGTGTTGGGAAGTTAAGAAATTGTAGCATAAAGTGCAGTGAATGATAGATTTCTTAAAATATGTTTAGCTTTATTTTGCTATGTGAGTGCAGAGTATTCCAGACAGATATTGAATGTTATATTATTATGAAAGTTTCAGGCAAAATAATAATGATTTAACCCCCAAAAGTATGGTATTTAAGTTATCTGGCATAATTCATTAATATTTTAAATATTGCCTAATGGGTCATCCATCATTATACCTAGAGAGATTGATTCACCAGAGTTGAAAGTTCGAAGTAAGTTGGATGAGGCATTCATCTAAATGAAAAGCTTGGAAGAAGAAAGTAATACTGTATGTACGTATATAAGGCAACTCTGGGATAAAGCCACATGACAACATGATGTGGAAGGGCTCACTTAACTCATGAAACTTAAAAGTACAAAAATACAGAAACGAAGAAGTGTGAGCTATGATGTATGTATGCATATAATAGTAGTAGGTTGGTAGACAGCAACCACCCAGAGATGTACTACCGTCCTGCCAAGTGAGTGTAAAACAAAAGCCTGTAATTGTTTTACATGATTGCTGGTGTCTTTTGTCTGTCTCATAAATATGCAAGATTACAGGTACGTCTTGCTACTTCTACTTACACTTAGGTCACACTACACATACATGTACACGTTTATTTACACACACTCATCTGAGTTTTCTTTGATTTTATCTTAAAAGTTCTTGTTCTTATTACTTTTCCTTTTATATCCATGGGGAAGTGGAATAAGAATCTTTCTTTCGTAAGCCATGCGTGTTGTTAAAGTCAACTAAAATGCTGGGAACAATGGGCTAGTAACCCCTTTTCCTGTAATAATTACTAAAAAGAAAATGATGAAGAAAATTGTCAAAGTGGGATGTCTGAATGTGCGTGGATGTTATGTGAATGATAAGAAAGAGATGATTGTGGATGTTATGAATGAGAAGAAGCTGGATGTCTTGGCTTTAAGTGAAACAAAGCTGAAGGGGGTGGGAGAGTTTCAGTGGAGAGGAATAAATGGGATTAGGTCAGGGGTTTCAAATAAAGTTAGAGCTAAAGAAGGAGTTGCAATAATGTTGAAGGATAAGCTATGGCAGGAAAAGAGGGAGTATAAATGTATTAATTCAAGGATTATGTGGAGTAAAATAAAGGTTGGATGTGAAAAATGGGTTATAGTAAGTGTATATGCACCTGGAGAAGAAAGAAGCATAGAGGAGAGAGAGAGATTTTGGGAAATGTTGAGTGAATGCATGAGGAGTTTTGAACCAAGTGTGAGAGTACTTGTGGTTGGGGATTGATGGGTAGGCTCCAGGATGTACACGTTTATAGAGGGGCAACTGATATATTGGATCATTATTTAGTTGTAGCTACAGTTAGAGTAAGAGGTAGATGGGACAAGAGGAAAATGGCAACAACAAGTAAGAGAGAGGTGAAAGTGTATAAACTAAGGGAGGAGGAAGTTCGGGTGAAATATAAGCAACTATTGGCAGAAAGGTGGGCTAGTGCACATATGAGTAGTGCGGGGGTTTAAGAGGGTTGGAATAGTTTTAAAAATGCAGTATTAGAATGTGGGGCAGAAGTTTGTGGGTATAGGAGGGTGGGTGCAGGAGGAGAGTGATTGGTGGAATGATGAAGTAAAGGGTGTGATAAAAGAGAAAAAGGTAGCTTATGAGAGGTTTTTACAAAGTGGAAGCGTTATAAGAAGAGTAGAGTACAGTGGTCTCTCGTTTTTTGTAAGTAATCCGTTCCTGGAAGTGTGACTATTATCGAAATTTACGATTTTCGAATCAATTTTCCCCATAAGAAATAATGTAAATACAATTAATCCGTTCCTGACACCCAGAAGTATTAATACAAAAAATTTTTTTTATATGAAATATAGATGTAGTATATAAACAATACAATGGGACATGATGAATGAAACATTAACAGCATAACACTTACCTTTATTGGCAATTCTTCTTAGTGTATGGAAGACTAGAGGAGGAGACAGATTGCATTAGTTACTGTTTGGAAGGGAAATCCCCTTCCATCAACACCTCAGGTACCAAGTGCTTTTCTGGGGTTACTTCTCTTCTCTGTTTCTTAATGCCACTAGGACCAGCTTGAGAGTCACTGGAGTCCTGTCTCGCAAAAAAACTGTCCAGAGAGCTCTGTTTCTGGCATCTCTTTAACACTTCCCTGAAATGGGCCAAGACTTTGCCACTGTACATGTTGCCAACATGGCTTGCAACAGCCTTGTCAGGGTGATGTTTCTTCATAAATCTTTCCAACTTACCCCACATTTCAAAAATCTCCTTAATTTCTGAAGAAGGCAACTTCTTCCATCTCTCTTCCT